TAAAGTTTTAATTATCTATGATATCGGCTCAGGTGGTTTGAATGGATGGGTATACAAGGAAGGTTCTAGGTTAGAGTCTCTATGTACAAAGGCAAGAGAGCAGGAAAAAGAATGTAGTCAAACAATGTTGTAGACTTTTCCAAGCGGACTTTTTAATTGCTAAAATCAAAAGAAATGGGCCAACTGGTAATCAGTAACAAAAGCATCCAAACCATGCTTTCATTGTTCTTGGGTGAATCATTATTCAGTGACTATGACTCCTATTATCATGCACATTTAACATCTAGTTGTACTTCACAGCCCTTAGATACGGCAGCCTCAAGGATGCAGACTAGCGAATTTGGAAAATCCAAGGGATTTTGGAAGACCCTTTCGGAGGGTACATGGAGTGAGGCATTTGATGGCCTCGGGATATCTCTTCTTTTAACATCAAACCCGTCTATTCAGGTATTAGTCTTTCACAGAATATGTATACAATCATGGCATAGAGGGATTTCTTTCATATTATTTCAGATTAGCTTGAGAACAACCTAAATTCAGAAAAGTTTTTATTTTTGCCCGACAGTATACGGCATATGATCAACTGAAACAGAGACTACTAAAGGGAAAGATGAGCAAGAAAATAGGTGCAAAGTCGTCCCCGGAAGCTCTTTCTGCCTTTTCTGCCTTCATGCTGGGTGCAGTCTCAAAATGTGTTGCCACGTGCCTAACATACCCAGCTATCAGGTGGATGGTCGTGTCAATTCATCTATCCCTCATTCAGGAAACATGGTTCCTAAAGAAGGAGGGGACATTTCATTTTATTCATATCTAAAGTTTCTGCTGCCTTTTCTCTTCATCTTATTTATTTGCTTGGGCCATTTTGCGGACTACGTGATGAAAGTTGTTTTAAACTGCCTATAGGTGTAAGGTTATGATTCAATCAGCTGAGTCAGATGACAATCGGAGTACAGAAGCTGAGCGAAGAGCACAACGAACAATCTCAGGTGCACTCTATACTATTTGGAGAAGAGAAGGCTTGCTGGGGTTTTTCAACGGATTGCAGGCGCAGATATTGAAAACTGTTCTGAGCGCAGCGCTACTTCTGATGGTAAAGGAAAAGATCACGAAGACGTCATGGATTTTGATGCACATGATTGGCAGGTATCTGTCTACTCCTCCCAAAGTAAAGGAAGCTTGAGTTAGCGATAGGTACTTCACGAATCAATTTCTCATCCGAGAAGATGCTTATATGGTGGATTCGGAGCCTCTCTTCTTTCCTTTTCATCCTCTTTCCTCCTTTTCCTTTTTTAACCATTAAATTAATATTTTAATAGTTCAGATTTAAATCTTTTTAAAATTATTATTAAAATATGAAATTATGAAAATAAATAAGAAATTACAAACTATATTAAATTTAATTTTAATAGTTTGCAAATACACTAAATGTTTTTAAATTTTTTTTATAAATAGTTTATAAGAAATTAAAATCTAAACTGTTAAAATATGTTAATCTAATGGTTCAAAAAAAAAGAAAGGAAAGAGGATAAGAAAAGAAAAGGAGAGGTTCCGCTTACATGGTTGTCTTCCATGGAGGAAAATTGGTGCTTAGTTAGAAGTCTACGTCAGCTCGTAACGGGGCATGGACCTCCCATCGTAAGCAGTGCAATGAAATGCTGAATCTGCACTCTTTGCACCTAATCTGGTCATTGATGATGGATTTTTTTATTATTATTGTTAAAGTTTTTAGCATTGACAAGGTATGCTATGGAATATGGATTTCCTATCATATAGGACGGCCGGATTCTCTCTGATGTATCTTTTGGGAAAGACTGCATGATGATCTGTTCTCAAAGTTCATAATATATTTTGGCCAATAAAAATGAGTTCATAATTGGGTGTGCTATGGTTATATATATATATATAGATAGATAGAGAGAAAGAGACACACACACGTTATTAGTGTCCTTGTTCTCTGTAAAACCCGAATTCATACTTGTTTTCTTTTTCCAAATCTCACGGAACGTAGTTAAAATGCCTCGGCCAAAAGTAATTCTGAACGCCCCGTGGCAAAAACAAAACAGCAAATTTTGAATTCAACCCAGGAAAAAAGTGAGTTTTTGCCATCTGCTTAAATTTCATACTCTTTACATCCTAAAACTGAATCAGAAGATGAATTTGAACCGCATTTATGATTGAACCTCAAAATCAAATGAGCAATGTCAGCACTTCCAAATTTAAAATTGAGATACCCGTAGCAGGTTGCAAAAGAATGCTTCTTTACTGCACAGGCCTTCCTTTCCATTCTGCCGACAAATTACAATGCCGAGTATCTGCGCAGCGTGCCTTATATTTTTACCACAGAATCAGTGGTTTTTTGTAGCCTTATCTCACACGAGAAAGACCTCTCTGGTCTTACTCTATTTTATCAGCAAGATACTCTGCTTTTAATTCTATGTTAGAGGTGCCGAGCTTAAGGAAGCTCGATAACTATTGATTCGTTGGAAAAGATTATCCTTCTCATCTGGAAGGGAATCACGAGAATCTAAACGCACTCTCAAGATGTAATCTTTACTGAGCTGTCAGTTTCAAGGATGCGCGACACATCTTGTTTTCCAAACAATGGACTTAAACAATATTCCTCCATGACTTAACATAAAACCCATTTAGCTAATTTGATTAGATTAAAAAAATTAGATAAGTTAGTTAATTATAAGAAATATGATATATTTTTCTTAGAATATCATAATCATCTTTCTTAATATCCTTCCTCTCTCACTTACTTCATTATGATTGGGGAAATATTCATAGAGGTAATTTTAAAAAAAAATTAATAAATACTATATTTAAAATTAAAATTAATTTAACAATTAAATCTTATATTAAGGATCGGAAGAGTAACATCATCATATTAAATAAAGATTTGAAATAAACGGATATTGACCGCTGCAGCAGCATCTTTTCAATTTAATCCGAACCGATTAGTAGCATTAGTTTAGTAGTGCTCCAATGGTATGGGAAAGAGTCAACCAGATCAAGATCGAATCCTACGGAAGATTCAACCTTGTTCTTGCCTCTCGGAAAAATCGTTGTAGTAAAATTACTACCTGCTATGTTTAATATAAAAACTAAATTAAAAAAAAAACTAGTTAAATTAGTTATTTGTAATAAATAAGTATTATTTTTCCTAAAATATTTTTACTAATAAATGTATTGGTTAGAACTATTATTATTACAAAGAACCATTTTGAAAAAAAAAAAGATAAATATAATAAGCAAAATAGATTGGAGTCTTATATTTAAAATCAAAATAAAAATCAATCAGTTAAGATTGGGAGGTAGTATGTAGAAATATCAAGTTCAGTACCCAAATGCAAGAAAATTCTGATGAGCATATCTATACAATCAGAAACCCTGACTCAGTAATCCCGGATCAGTCATTGTTCCCCTTCCAATCCAGCGCCCTTTAACTGTTCAGAAATAGATGAAAAAAAAAAACAATAAATGATCAAGTATAGCAATCAAAAGGCCTATTACTCTAACCCGGAAGGTGTGGTTAGCCATAGGGCATATTCTCCATTAAAGTGTCGAGGGTTTGATCCTTATTTTGGATATGGAAAAGCTTTAAAACTTTGACCAGCTGTTCCACCCATCGAGGTGCCTACAAACCAGTAAAGGGATTAGTCATTAGGTACCCAGTAGATACCATGATATTTCATAAAAAAAAAAAAGGACTATTACTCTTTAAATTTGATAGAGGCTGGGCAGATGATTTAAATAAGCAAGAAAGGCTTTCGTGCAAGAATTGCTCGATAGGAGGGGGGGGGGGGGAAGAAACATATAATATGAGATGAAATTAGCTAATCCCAGAAAAATGGTAAGTGGAAGATAGAATATCGAGTGAGAGTAGTCGTCACTGCATTTGACTGTGTGACTCAAGAGAATGGAGGAAGCAAGCAGCGAGAAATGCAGAGAAAACTTGGCCAACGCCATTGACGGTACTTGTTTGGTGGAGGACCTTTTCTTTTCCAGAGTCTGGTTTTCTTGACTTAATTCTTGGGGGTACTTCAGTGCTTGTCAGTCGTCACCTTACCTACAGTTCCTTCCAAGGCGGAGGAATAAGATATTTATTATTCTCAACGGGAAAGCACCGACATAGTTCGGTGCACGCCATGCGTTTCTTTCCAACGCATTGGGACTGGGGAGGGCCGTCAGGATCCTCGTCAAAGTCAATTTGGACAAAGGTCGTTTGAGGGCGAAATGGTGTCATTTTGGTTTCTTCAGAGTGGAAACATGCAAGACAGGGTTCATGCCAGATGGATTTTTTTGGGGAAAAAAAATGTGTTAACTACATATTAAATTTCTGCTTTATATCGGTACCAAGAGGCAAGAGTAGTCGTTGTGAAAATAAGTTCATTGCCTTTTTGTACCTATCAACTATTAGTATCACAACTTTATTTATAACATAGTTTTTCTGGCCAAAATGACGAGGAGCTTGTTTTGACTAACATCCAATATGTTAATCTGTTCATTTATCATTCAATTGACACAAGAGGAATCAGCTTGAAAGTTGATAACTTTACTCTCAGCTTATTAAGTTTTCATGTCAACTGATGGCCTATCAAAATCATGAAACTGCCCTGTATCCTTGCTCCACGCTTCAAGACAAACCAATTTCTGTCATTGAAAACTATCTTCTTCAAGTGGGAAAGTTCTGGCGGTGGCCAAGGGAATAAGGGATCATTCCACCTCACTCATGCAATTAAATCGCAAAGTCCAGGTCTGAACCACTAGAATATTTGGTAATTAAGTAAATTCCAAAATCCAGGAGGGCCAAATTGTCACTTCACACCGCAAATTCAGATCCTCCGGACACAAACAAACCAAATTGGTGGATGCAGTTGAATTCGGATAGCGTGGCCCAATCCTCCAATAGACTAGTGTCCACGTAAGCAAATCTCAGCTTCATATGTAGGACATCATTTGCATCTCCCCTGTAATTCAAATGGCCTTCACTGACAACTGAATTTCCTCTCCTGAAAAAATGGCGGTCTCAGCGGATTGCCGGATATCTCTGTCGGCCTCCGTCCAGTTACGTAGAGCAAGGGGATTGGCCGGCAGGAACTGCAAGCGCGTGAAGTTCTCCAATGGGGAACTCATGGGACAGAAGCTCATGCTTCCCAAACTTTCGCAACAACGAAATGGTTCTCATTGCACTAAAAACAATACCATGCAACCAATCTACATGTCTCTGACTGCTGATGTCCCCACTGCATCCAAGGTTAAGCTCAACCTCACTTTCTTCTCCTTCTCTCCCCTAGCTCTAACACAAATCCACTTACAAGAAACAAAACTAAGAATAGGATGGTAGCTTAGACATGTATTTTGGTGAAGCAGCATGCCAAACGTTGGCATTATATTTAGAGACTATGGTTAAGGTCAAGAAACAAGCCAATGGCATTGTGACCCAATGATACCAAGTTCTCTTGGTTTGGGAAGTTCAATTCTACTTGTTTTTAAACCGTTTATTTAAATAAACTTGCAGCACACTCATTTGTGACTGAGGAATATGCACAAAAGGTTGCTCATTGGTACCAAAAAAGTATATACAGCGTTCCTTTGCACTTTTTTTTTGGGGTACAATGTTCCTCTGCCTCTGCTAAAGCTGTTCATGAAATTAAATGAGGTGGGTGGGTACAAAAATCAGGGAATCTTTCCCTTGGGGGATAGGATTTGGGTTTATCAGCAACTATTTGAGTTGAATAAAGCCCATTTTGAATGGCCCATTACTTTCTGAGTCCCAAAATTTAAGCATCATATGCTGTGGGCAAGTGCAGTTAAGGGACCTGGACATGGAAAGAAGGGACCCACGGACAGTTGTAGCAGTTATACTCGGCGGAGGAGCTGGAACTCGTCTCTTCCCTCTCACCAAGCGCCGTGCCAAACCTGCTGTATGCCTCTTTTTCTGATCTTTCCTCATTTTATTTTGTTTTCTCTTAATCATCAACCTTCTCAGCTATGCAAGAAATAAAGTGAATTATAAAGAAGCAATATTCGTGGATAATTACATGTTTAATCATACCTTTACAGAAGGATTCTGCTTAACGAATTTAATGCAATAGTGCATTTGGTGAGGATAGTATTATATGGAGCCACATGAGTCTGATGATCTTGTGTGGGATTTTCTGTGGTAGGTTCCTATTGGAGGCGCTTACAGGCTAATTGACGTGCCCATGAGCAATTGCATCAACAGTGGGATCAACAAAGTTTACATTCTCACTCAGTTCAATTCAGCTTCACTCAACAGGCATATTGCTCGTGCTTACAACTCTGGCACTGGGGTTACCTTCGGAGATGGCTATGTCGAGGTATCTGAGGGCCACCGCGTCCATTAAAGACTTCTGGAAATTAGATGATTAAGTAAACTAGAAGCATGTTTGATTCGAAAAAGATCGGTTGAGGCTGCATTTGCTAGTTCTGCAGGTTCTCGCGGCTACTCAAACTCCAGGGGAAGCAGGGAAAAGGTGGTTTCAGGGCACTGCAGATGCTGTGCGTCAGTTCCATTGGCTCTTTGAGGTATTACAGAAATAAGAGCAACCATGTTCTGTGAGATAACTCTCTTTTTAAGTGTTTGACGGGAGTTATTTAGCGAACAAAATTTGAGAACTATTTTGCACGTATAATATCATTTTTCAAACAATTTAGAGGATGCTTTCATGATGCAGGATGCAAGAAGTAAGGACATTGAAGATGTGTTGATTCTTTCCGGGGATCACCTGTACAGGATGGACTATATGGACTTTGTTCAAGTAAGGAACTCTACAGTTAAATCAAACAATGACCCCCCCCCCGGTTCTATGAAAACATTCGAAAGCTTGACAATTGGATTTCTTTTGGGATAATCTTCATTTCCAGAATCACCGGCAGAGCGGTGCAGACATAACTCTTTCTTGTTTGCCTATGGATGATAGGTAGGCCACTTTTCAAATATTGGATTGTTCGTAAGCTTATTTCAACATGTATGAACCCTCAAATATATAGCTGGGGATCATTATTGATTAACCTCCTCTTCATCATACTTGACTGGCAAATAAACATATCCTAGGATACCTAGGTCTAGTGTTTGCTACTACAGTAAATTTGGTCCTCTGATGTTATCTTTTTACTCTAATGAACTCTGTAATAGAGCTTGTTCTATTCATCTCCAACTTCCATGATTATCAAAATACATATATTTGAAATTCTACTGTGCATTCATGGTAGCCGCGCCTCAGACTTCGGTCTAATGAAGATAGACAACAAAGGAAGGATCCTTTCATTCAGTGAAAAGCCCAAGGGGGAAGACTTGAAAGCAATGGTAAACCTCACGTCTATCATACCGCTAATACAAGTTTCATAGATTTAGGACGCTAATGCTGCTCATATTTCAGCAAGTAGATACAACAGTGCTGGGCCTTTCAAGGGAGGAGGCTCAAAAGAAACCATATATTGCTTCCATGGGAGTGTACGTTTTCAGGAAGGAGATACTTCTTAACCTATTAAGGTGCTGATAACTATCTATTGAACTATTACCTCAAAGTACAGAAATATACAAACAACAGAACTTGATTCCCCATCATAGACCTAATTGTTTTGCTATGCGCTATAAATATACGTCATCCAGGTGGCGTTTCCCAACTGCAAATGACTTTGGATCAGAGGTCATTCCTGCCTCGGCCAGAGAATTCTACATGAAGGTCTGACTAATTATTTCAGAACACTGATGTATAAGTCTACACGCTTGTCTAAGATATTTTTTCATACTTATGGCTCCACTGTAATGCTCAGTACACCTGACAAGAGGGGAATTTTTTTTTTTTTTTTAAAAAGAACGTTGCAAATCAAATTTTTGGAGAGATCACATGAAAAATTATTCCACTTCATATTTTGGTTCAAGCAGAGTGGAAAAGAAAGTGGACACTTACCCCGGGATCCATCTAAAAGTTTACTGTCACATATTACAACTATTTACTAATATAACGAAAATTACGCATGCAGGCTTATCTCTTCAATGATTACTGGGCAGATATAGGAACCATCAGATCCTTCTTTGAGGCAAATCTAGCCCTCACCGAACATGTGAGCGTCAAATATACCAGTCAATGCCTCTTTTCTTGATCTTCAGCATCATGTATATAAATTTTTCGCTGAGGAGAAATTGTCGAGGATGATCATAGTCTGAACAAACATATGAAATCAACTTACTTGCATACTTAAAATTATCTAATTTTTTCACAGATATGAATGAAATGATTGAGACCTGAGTTGTCAAAACTAATCTGCTCACTTAATCGAGCTAAAATAGTGGACTGGATTGCAATAATTATTACGTAGTTTCTTAACTAATTTATTCTCGCTCAATCACTAATATAGTTCAATGCAGCCTCCCAGGTTTAGCTTTTATGACGCAGCAAAACCAATGTATACATCAAGGAGGAACTTACCACCTTCAAAGATTGACAACTGCAAGGTTAGTTTCTCTACCTTTGAACTTGCTCTTGGCGAATTATGAAAAGGAACCAACGCCAAGAAGCAATATGCAGCATACCCTAAATCTCTTGCTTCATAGTATTCTCAGGATTTGGTGGGTTCTTTGACGAGCCAAGGGATAAAAAGCAGAAAGGTCCAATGGGGAAGTGGGGAAGAAGAAAAAGAAACGTGAGAGTTTTCTCCTCGCCCACCAAACCATCAATAACCTTTGACCCTAATTGAAAAATTAAGATCAATATATAGGATCAAAATGTGAACGATATTAATGATGTATAGAGAGCTTTTTCATATATACATGCCCCTGGAAACATATTAATAGTAATCTATTCAAAAGTAGGAGGTCCAGATTCTTCAGCTCGTTCGGAGTGTGTTTTAACACCCTCCTACCGGGGAAAAGTTTGCTTTCAACTTCGAAGGTGCTATCAAAACTGTTATTGTCCTTGTGCAGATTGCTGATTCAATAATATCGCATGGAAGCTTCTTGACCAATTCCTCGATAGAACACAGTGTAGTTGGAATCAGATCCAGAATAAACTCGAACGTTCATTTGAAGGTTTCGTATCTCAGTTTCCAGTTTTAACAGCTGTGCGCAGATATCTGATTATTCTCCAGTTGCTTACATTATGGGCATGAATTAATCATTCTGGGGTTTGTTGTTGAGTGAAATTCTGATAAGTTCTTTGTGCAAGTTTATAATAACCTGCTTATTTGTCAGGTGCGCTCATTTAGCTCTATTGTATCATTATTGTAAGCAGGATACAGTGATGCTTGGTGCTGATTTCTATGAAACGGACTCTGAAATAGCAGCACTGTTGGCGGAGGGAAGAGTACCTATTGGAATAGGAGAAAATACAACGATCAAGTACAATCTACAACTTGGCATTTTTCTATGTTCTAACCATTTTTCTTTTACTGTTCTTTCTCATCGCTCATCTCCCGTATCTACAGAGACTGCATTATTGACAAAAACGCCAGAATCGGAAAGAATGTTATCATAGCGAACTCAGAGGTATATTTTTTCCGATCATCATTCTTGGGAAGTAGACGAGAGCTGGTTATGCCATGCTAACTAAATTACACCCACCTTCGCCGAAATCACTTTAGCATAACTAATACACATAGTCTAACTATGGCCGACCATCCATAAAGATAAAGATTGTTGGAAGGCAAAACAGAACTAAACTGGTGTGTTTAATTCAGGAGTAAAGTGGATGAATTTTCAAAGAAGAAAAATACTTGACGCTTGGAGGTCATGTGACTTCAACAGAACTTTCAACAACTAATAAGAGAAATGGTGATTATTAACGGTCACTTTTGCACTAAAATTTCTGGGTTTATATGAACTGCAGGGCATACAGGAGGCTGACAGATCTTCAGAAGGGTTCTACATTCGGTCCGGAGTGACCGTTATATTCAAGAACTCAGTAATCGAAGATGGATTCGTAATATAATAATTTCCTCCGTCCTTTTATCTATTTTGACATGGATTAGGTTGAGAATCGAGAAAAAATAAATATTGAAATTGAGTCAGTACTTTTATTTTTTGTTACCATAAATCAATGGTCAATTTCCAGAAAATATCCAATGAAATTAAGTTTCACACTGAAAGGGCCAAGATGTCAGGTGAATGAGAAGTGACATGGTTGTATTTCGCAATTAAAGTAATACTATATACCAATGGAGGTTACAAAAACAAGAGTTTTTCTCCATTTCTTAATTTCCAATTAACAAACCTCATGCAAGAAATTTTAGGTATTAAATAGGTGCAGTAGATTAGTGATGAGCTGCAACGTGAATGTTACTCAATGCTCTATCCCATAATGAAAGATATTTCTTTACCAGAATAATTAAAGATATAACCCACGCCAATTAGTAGTTTCAAAATATAACCACATAGATAATAAACGATTGGTTGAGATGATATTTAGCAAAGTTCTGTTTGGCACTCGGATCATTTGCGAAGATTATCCTCTAATCCCTAACCAGGTCCCAAAAAAAAAAAAAAAAGAAGATGGAAATACAATACTAGGTCTCATCCAAATTCGCAAAAGATCACAACATTTCTAAAATATAACATTATGATAGGGAAATCAATTTTTTTGATCCAAACAATGTTCTACAAATGTAAACATAATGAATAACCTGAAAGTTGGAAGGATAACTCAGACTAATCATAAAGCCAATTTGAGGCAGAATATGCCATCTAATCAATACGCGTGGAAGTTAAGATATGGATTATAAAGTAAGCTCTTCACAATTGAACATTAACTCATTTTCATACTTCTGGAGAACAAACCGCTCCTCTGGAACTATGATAGTGGTAACAGTACATTTCATGTCAGAAAAAGGTTTCCTACAAGTCCTACCTGCCCGATGAAGATAATCTATGGCAGTCTTGGGCAGATCAAAGTTGTAAATGTGGGACATTTCCGGAAGGTCAACTCCTCTTGAAGCTATATCTGTTGCTACAAGAAGAGAGCCGCCACCTTTCCTTGCCTCCTGCATCAAAGATGGCAAATATGGAGCCATGCTTAGCATGAGCAAGGACCAGCAGTTCTAATTTGGTTTTCAAATGGGAACAGCTTTTTCATCTTAGCCTCATATACCAATTCCCAAGCAAAGAATGGCACTTACCAACAGTGAAACTGCCCGTGAATTGAAATTCATATCTTCCTCAAGGAGGAGGATATCTAAAGAACCTTGGTATGAAGTCTTCAGAAAGTCAACCAGAAGGGACGTTGATGGAGCATTTCCTGCCTGTTTTGACCTCTTAGACTGCATAAATAAGAATCTGATATTCAGACTACAAAGAACTTTCAGCATATTCACATAGATTGGATCAAAAGACAGTAGATGCAGACATATTGGATGATTATTTGAAGGTACAAGAAACCAAGTTCAATAATACTAGCATAAGACATCTAAAATCTTTGATTCTACCTAGTTTCCCAAGCACCTGATTAGCATGGACTTCGAATAGCACTGAAAAAATAGCATTGAGTAATAATTATTCAAGACCAGACTGCATTATTGTATCAGCGGATATTGATGATGGAATTCACAGCAGTTTTTTCTTTAAAGATGCATTCCAAAAACTGCACAGGAAAATTACTTAAATAATAATCATGTAAAGAAAAGAAGAGGATACTAAAGAAGATATTTTCTCAGACCTGCTCACTGGCAAATATAATGCCAGACTCAGGTGCATCAGATTGTATCAAAGATAACAGGGTTTGTTGCTTCTTGTTCCTATGACATACCTGTTGATTGAAACAGCAATATAAATTGACAACAGCCCAAATACACAATAGGCTTTTAAGAAATAAGTAACCTACAGAAAAGATGTGATTGAGTATAGATAATTGTAGCAGGCAGATAGGCCAACAATGTACAAGAAAGAATAACAAAATTGCTATGATACTTAAGATCTCTTACTACAAATCTATGATGCAGGCGTGATGGCATGGGCTCAACTGGGCTGACATGAATATGGACCACATCACTCTAGAAAATAAATATGGAGACAAAGACCATTAGGAAATCAGTGGTGTGCTTAGGGTAACTCAAAGAAAAACATAAATAGCTTCATCAGCTGACCTTAGTCCATTTCTGCTGCACACAATCATGAAGAAATCGCCTGTGTTGTGGTATAGACGCACTGGCAAAAACCGTTTGACGGTTATTGCATGACGAATACAGAGTTAAAAGTTTTCGAAGGGAACTGACTTGCTTTGAAGAATTGAAAATAAAGTCAACCTAAGAGAACAAAAACACAAAGCTTCAGTTTTCAAAATTATAAGCATTGATAATAATCTATTACCTAGAAGCATAAAGGGCAGCGAAACAAGTTTCAATGATCAAAATACTTTACCTCATCCACTACTAACACCCGCACAGTTTCTAGCTTTAAAAATTGTCTTTCAATTATATGGCATAAACTCCCCACTGTTGCGACTACTATCATTGGAGGCTCTGCCTAAAATTTGAAAGATTAGATGAAGGAGACTTGATGAGCAGAAAAGAGGTACTTATTGCAACAGTTCAAATCCATTTCATGGATATTTGCAAATCTTTTAGGAGTTTATTTCTTGGGCTAAGCAGTCAATAAAGTCAACATAACATCCAAAAGAGCATAATTATCCTGTTTTACAGTTAGGCCAAGAACTGACCTAATCCCAACAAAAGGATTTTTCCCCCATTCCAACATTCGCAACCTCAGGTCAAGCGGACAAAATAGGTCCTTCAAAATCCTGGATCTTCTAGACGTCTAATGAACAATCTAAATAATCTAAAATCAATTAATTTGTTTGATTATTGTCTAAGATTGCATAAATTGGATCAGAGGAAACAACAATTTGAACAAACTTGATCAAAGGCCAAGCAAAAATCATCAGACTCAACTGAAAAGGTAAAAGTTCCTTCACAGTCACAAAAAAAATAGAGAAATGAATCCAGCAGTCTTCTACAGACATTGAATGGCCCGCAACAACTACTTACACCAAATCGGTCTCTGTTTTCCTTTTTTTTTAAATTCACTGAATAAAGCTCGTAAAAGTAAAAGGTGTCTTGGACAGTAAATTACGACAGTAGTACCTTTAGCCAACTCTTGTGTCTTCTCAATGTTCCTCCATCTAAAAGAGCCATGACGGTATATGACTTGTGCTCCTTCTCAACCTCTGTCGGACTTGCTGCCAACATCCTAGCAACTTTAGCAACCTTGTCGTCAAAAAATCAATTTTAGCATTAGCCATTTCCAAGGGAATCGCCTCTGGTACATTGCATTGAATATAATTAGCATGTAACTATGCAATCACAACATCATTGGCATTATTACTTGCATGCCAAGTTCACGGGTGGGCACCACAACAAGAGCTTGCACGGCAGATTTTGCAGCGTCTATGACGGAATATATCAGAAGCACGTATGCGAGCGTCTTCCCAGAACCTGTCTACAGAAGAAATAATACGAGATTACATCAGTAGGCAATGTTTGCCGTTTCACTAGAATAAAACCAAATCCGAGAAGCAAATTAACCTGAGCATGAAGTATGCAATCGCGACCAGATAAAAGAGAAGGCAATGCTTGTCTCTGGACATCTGTAGGCATGACATATCCAATCTCTTCCATCCTGAAACATATTACAGTACCCAAATCATCTCCTTTAGTCAAAATACAATCAATAGTTCCCCCAAGAAAACCAAAAATAATAAAAAGATCACCAGAGTCGTCAAAACCCACGTTTTATTTTTGGCCTCACAGATGATATACATATTTAAATAATCAACATTGGAAAGAAAGAAACTCGTCATCACATCCACTCACAACACAACATGCATAAAGAGAGAGGGCAATTCTGAAAAGCAAGAGGGAAAAGGAAAAGTTCAGAGATTGCCTGTCTAATATATGCCGGGGAACATGGGCTTCGCATATTTCTCTTAACGCATGAGAACCAATTTTATCAACTGCTCCGGGGGCCAAGGAAGACGTATTTAAAAGGGATTGTGGAGTTCTGAACTTGGAGATAAAGCGGAGACCAGGGTTGACGTGATACGTGGAAAAGAAAAAATTGAAGGTATGATTTTGTGAGTGAGAAAGAAAACAAGTAGGAGTTGGCTTCTCAAGGGAAATGGGAACAAGCTGTGCAGGCGAGAAGGCATCCATGGAACCTCAGTTGCATAAAGAAAGGCAGGCTACTGATTAGCAAGAGGAGAGGCAAATAGCAGTGTGGAAGAAAGAAGTCCGAGTGAGACTACGAATTTCGATAGAACGTAATCAATAGGGCTCTTTCAGAGCTCCTTTTCACGGCATGGCACCTCGGTTGCAAAGCGCAAAGTGACAGTAGATTGAAATGAAGATGACGATCGTCTCCAGTCACAAAGTAACTGTTCCTGAGTAAAACGATGCGTTGCATTGTCCAGATTTAAAACGGTGCGGCGTGAGATTAAGCACAGAAATCTATATCTATATCATCTATAAAAAGTTCGACCAAAAAGAAAAAAAATGGCTCAAATATTGCCATCAAATAAGTGGCTTATTCCATAGAATATATCTGATTCACGCCGGTTTTCCATTTTTTGGTCAAAATCGGACTCATACTAGGTACTAGGTAGAATGATTTCCGTGTTGTAACTTGTATTTCCAGCGTCTCCTTGAGAAAATTAAATTCAATATCTTTGTATATCGAGCTAGATGTTAAAATATTTTCATTGATGAACAGAAAAACGCAGCCACTTGCGTGGTTCGGCAGTCACCGGTCAGTTGGCGGTGAACAGAGGAAGCTTGCTGATGCGATGACAAGAGGGGCTTCAAGTTGAACGGTGGAGATAGTCGTGATTACTGATCTTAGTCAGCCTCCAACTCTAACAAGAGAAATCACAACTCATCCTTTTATTGCGTTTCGAGAATCTAAGAATATTTCAAAACGCCATTGTCGCATATACTGGGGGATAATTTAAGGTGTCTTGTTGCGCTATAAGAGCTTGGAAAAAGAGGTGAACTTTGTGTACACTGTCAAAGAAGACTCTGTTTTATTTTGGAGGGGCGGTAAGTATGATGAGGTAACTTGTTTCCCCGGACTAATGAGACTGCCAAAACCTTTTTCTGGTTCCAGTTGCATCCCATGTAATTTTAGGTGGCATTGTCGTCAAACACAAACATGATTTCGGTTTTGGCCGCAAGCAATTGATTAATGGGGCAATTTGAAAGTTTTGATTATCTTCCTGTGAATGGGAAAGTTCGATTCTTTGCCTCTGGTTCTTGCTTCCCCTTGAAACAATTATTGCTGACGAAAAACACTATGCTTCACACCAATTCTGAAGCAGAACTAATCAGCTACCAATAAAAACACAGCTTTAACTCACATCGCAATTACAAACAATCTGCTATAACCAAAAAAAAAAAAAATCTCAATTTCTTGATATTCCTCTAAGAAGCTTAAACCAATTTTGAAGCGCTCTGCATAAAACATGGTATTAAAGAAAGAGAGCAATTTTCCATTCAAACAAACAATGCTCTCCAAGGCAGGGGCATAAGGAGTTAGGTGGTCTGAAATGCTTGTGAATGACGACTGACGAGAGCTGAGAAGCGGCCATGATTGGTACTTCGATATGAAGAAATAGGTTTGAGAGTGAGGTAATAATTGAGCCATTGAGGTGTTGAGAATTACAGGTACATATTTATCTGCTAATGGGTGTGTATGCTGGGAGAATAACGTAAAGAGAAGCATGTGTCATGTGTGATGGAATACCGAAGAAAGGTTACAGGATAAAGGGAGTGCTGTGAAGGATCCACCGCACCAATTTTGTTTCTTATTCAGAGATTGGAACCCAAAAACTTTTTTTTTTTTTTCTGGGGACAAGAGCACCGAAAGTCCTCTTCATCCCATCGTGCCCTACCAAACGCGCCTCCGTCAATAATACCTCTCTTGCTCTGACGCTTGACTTGTTCCAAGACTTTGGGCCTTTCGTTTTTCCATTTACTGTGACTTATGTATATTTGTATTTGTACGTATAATGAATAGAATATACAGTTATTTTAATGAGATTCATTTAAAATTTATTACGAGATAGTATTTTCAGATTCATTATTTTAACCATAAATAAATAAATATAATAAGGTTGATTTCATCAAAGCGTGTGAACCGGATTGTTCCTGCGTTTTCTGCCCGCTTCCCTTTCCTCTCGTCTTTGTACCATTCTTTACTTTGACCTATTACTTTCTCTCCTCTACTCTTTTAGGGCTCTTTTCTGCTTGGCCTCCTTCCTCCTCCTCTCCTTCATCTCAAGTCTCCTTCTTTGTGTTTGCGATCAATGGATAATTTCACCTCTTCTTCTTCTTCTCTTCCTCCTCCTCCTACACCCATGCCCGACATTCTGCCCGCATCGGCTTCATCCTCTTCTGCAGCTTTCGACGACGGTTCCGAGGACTTCTGCAGTATTTGTCTTGAGCCCTTCAGCACCGATGACCCTGCTACTGTATGATCTGAGCCCTCTTTTTTATTAATTGACTCCACTTCTTCTCTGTTTAGTGTATGCATTTGGGATCGTGTAGAGTTATACACTCTGAGGAGAGACCGTAGTGTATTCCCACGGACTTATTTGTTGAATCGTTTTGGGTATTCGCTTGCTTCGGAAGCACGATCAGTCTAGAATCGAGTCATAATTTTGCCGCATTTTATTCTTTCGTGGGCATGAGTTTTTCGTTGTCACATTGTTCTAATCTTATTTCTCCTACGATGTTGAAGGATGTCCGGCTTTGAAATTCTGTTCAGTGCTCTGTTTCTTAATTCAAGCGATTGATGTGCTTCAGAATTTTGATATGTCTCTGCCTTGATCCTCGTTTTGTGAATTTAGGGTCATTTTGTTGTTGAGGAGTTAGGAACTCAATGAAAAATGTACTGTTTTAGTATATTATCTTTTGAAGATATCTGTATGGATCAGTGTGTGTCAGTCTTCACTGATACAAACCCTGGGGAACTTTTGCCTTGCTGTGGTAGTTATTTAAGCAGAATGAGGAATGATTCATATCGAAGCAAGCCAAAAAAATATATAATGCATGTGCTTCCTTCTGAGTATACGCATGCTTGCTGAAGAAATTTAAATATTTATTCCATATTTTAAACCAATTAATATAACATGTAGATCTAGATCTGTTAGTGGATTCAGATTGTGGAATCATGCTACCATGAACAGGAAACTATATGCTTTGAAGCAACCAGAAATAGGTGAACTGCCCATGTGATTTCTTGCAATTATATGCATATTTGCAGAAGACAGTTGTGTTGTTCTTTTTTGTTGCACCACTTAAACTCGACATCTAATCATGATGGTTATATGAGAATTCAGACTGAATTACTTGAGGCAAATAAGTTATTCACGTTAATCAGGTTCCTATCTGTATTCATGTGTAAATTTTGATGGCTATTTGGCTGGTGCTGTTAAATAAGCTGTGCTTCATGCATGGATAAATTACATTCGGTTGATTTTCAAAAGAAATTTTGAAATGGAGAAAATTTAGGTGCAGTTGAAAGGTATTTGAGAAGTTGAATTTTCACAGTGGGGCATTACATGATTGAACCTTTTAATAAACTTCCTCTGCTATTCCCATGTCATGGATTTCTTGGAAAACCCCATGGCTATCACTTAAGGAACTTTACCCTAGTCTGATCTATTTGCAATCTAGAAATGAATGTCTTGCTTATAAATGCTCAACAATTATTGACACACCTCCTTTAAATTTTCAGATAACAAATTGCAAACATGAATATCATCTGCACTGTATTCTTGAATGGTAAGGCTGACTGCTCTGTAGGGAGATCATGTTTGTTATCAATATAATAAACTGGATCTATGCTTTTCACTCACATAGACAATAATATAATAGGCTGCTTCTAACATTGTACTTTTTTATCTTTAGGTCTCAGAGAAGCAAGGAGTGCCCAATCTGTTGGCAGATACTTGTCTTGAAGGACCCTGCCAAGTATATATTCTCTTGGAAAATTTGTCTCTTTCTTGTATGTCTTGTGTTGTTATGGTTTTTTATTTTCCTTAATCACCAACCTTGCAGCCAAGAACTTCTAGCTGCGGTGGAAGCTGAAAAACGCATAAGGTCAAGAGGCTCATATTCATCTGCATTCCCACATCCTCGTACCCCCATTGAACGGTTTAATGTGGAACAGGTGAGCAATATTTCCAAGTGTTATGAATCTGTTTTCTAATTCAATATCTATTTGTATTTATTCATGTAATGCAGCGTCAGTTTATGAAACAGTATCAGTCTATTTGACAAGGCTCAATATACTACTGCAGGATGATTCTTGTTCCGATGACTCCGATTTTGATGAACAAATTATGCAGCACCTAGTTGCTGCTGCAAGTAGAGCCCATTATTTTCGTAGAAGGGATGTGCAAAGATCATCTGGAGTAGGTCCATCTAGGATTCCTGTAGTTGAATCTTCATTGCATGTCTCTGGGCTGCAACCAGTGCATACAACTTCACCTTCTGGAGATAGTTCACCTAGTTCCACTTCTGCTGCTGGCATTCAACCTCCACCGCCTGCCCCTTCTTCTGTTGAAGCAATTCCAGGAAATTCCACTCCTGATACCCATGACCCTTTCAAAGCCAGGTACTGGTTGCATCAAACTTTGAATATGAATTATAAAGCAGTGACATAAGTTCTTTATCAGGAGGTTTATGGCATGCCCTAGAGCATTCGACCATCGATCATTCTTATGTTTACTATCTCTTGGGTTGTATCCAGAGTTCTTTATAGCCAGCCACCATCCGAGAGTGTGAGAAGACTGAACACTTCTGAGATGTTTACTTTCCCTGAGTCCATCAAGACCAAATTTTCTGCTGCTTCAGCTAGGTAAACAAATTTATACATTTAATCCCAGATGCTCCTATGATTATCCCACTGATAAATGTTTTTTATAATAAAATCTTGAACCAGATATAAAGAATCTATTTCAAAAGGTACACGTGGTCTTAAAGAGAAGTTACTTGCTCATAATGCCTCAGTGAAAGAGCTGAGTAAAGGTGTTCAGCGTGAGATGAATGCTGGCATCGCTGGTGTTGCACGGATGATTGAACGCCTTGATCTCGGCTCAAAACAGGCTACTGCTTCTCCTTCCATGCCCAGCTCTACCGAGGGAACTTCTGGCTTCCCCTCTAAAGGAAAGACTGTCCAAGAAAATGGTAGTGGACAGTCTCTTCACTCTGCCGTTGAGGAAGAGAGTGGAGTAGTCATTCATGATGTTAGATCAGGTCCACCTGCACAGGTTTCCAGTGCCACAGTTAGTCCAGTAGGGTACCCTCATCCACATGTTCAGGTTGATCCATCCATCTAATTCCCTGCTTTCAATCATTTTGAAAATTATTTTATTTCTTGAAAGCTGGCTGATTCTTTCCGTGTTGGTAATTTTTAACGTCCAGAGTGGGTGTGATGCGGTGAAGACTTAGCTTGGCTGGTATGTCGTCTCACTTGTCCAAGAAGAAGCATGCAGTGCAAGTGATGACCTTGTAAACCAATCTACCCGTTGGTATATGCATCCGGCATTGTTGTTACTGGCCCATGAAGTTTAAGAATTATAAACAATGTGCTGAGCCAGAGCTTTCACCTCGAGGGAGATTATTTAATGAACTTATCACTATAGTATAGACATGCATGGATGGTTATCCATACTCGGCCTTTGTTTATAGTTTCTTCTACGTGCTAGTATATCGCTCATTGCGGTCAAATAATACTGAGGTTGTCTGCTTTCTCCACTTTAATCTACGAATCTAGCAACTTATTGAGAGGAATATGATTGTGCCATTTGGTAAAATCTTCTAAGGATTGAAAGCAACCTGAAATTGTTTTCTTGCTCTATTAACGGAATTAACCGTCGGTTAAAGAAGGAACATGCAAATTAGATTTGTTAGCAGATTATAGTCGTGTCTCATTTTCGTCATTGTTGCTGAAGAGCTTCTAATCAATATATTCTGGTTTGATTCCCTTTAAAAATGTGAAGCATTGGTATTCATTGCCCCTTTAGCATAAAGCAGCTTGTTCTTGAAGAAATTTAATGATGAGCACAGTATAATGAAGATAAGCAGATTAAACTCATAATGAACAAGCGTGTGGATATGTACATGCTTTAAACTTCCAATGAAATATGTGGGATCAATTTCCCTTGTCCAGAGGTGACACTTAGGGTATGTTTAGATTAGTGTTGTGTAAAACTGACTTCTAACTCAACTGACTTTTATAATTAAAGTTAGAGTAAAAGCCAGTTAGGGTATATTTGGATAAGTGTTTTTAAAAAATCAATTGAAAAAGTTAAAAGTTGTTTAGATGATTAATAAAAAAGTTAGCTTTGTTGTAAAATGACTGAAAACGGTATGGATTTTATTGAATAGTAGTGTTTGAAATTTTGTGTTTAATGTGATAATAGTTTAGAAAATACGTAAAATTATTATGATAAAATATAAATAGTTTATTTGTGAAATTATAAAATAAAAATATTTGTTATGAAGAAAAATTTGAAAACACATTGTAGATAATTAATTAAATATACACAATAGACAAACATGAATATAAATTAAAATTCATTTGGTCTGAATAAAAGCTTATTATGCTAACAAAGGAGATAAGGTAGAGGGAAAAATATAAGGGTAAATCTGGGATGCTCATTTTTAATAATCACCGTTTGAAACTGCAGTTTGAAAAATCAGATTTTTTTCCGTTGAGTCTAACTGAGATTGAAAGCCAGAAGTTAGCTGAAAAAGTTAGCCCAGTCAAACAACAGTTTTTATCCAACTTAGTTTACAACCCCAGTTTCACAGATTTCAAAACACAACTGCAATTCCAAACTGCAATCCAAACATGCTCTTAATCCAATCAATGGTGGTGTCCATTGGCTGGCGGTGTCCGGGACCCTATAAGATGAAGATGGTTCACATGGCTTATTGCAAGCTGTGTTAAAATGAACTTGAAAAGTCCCCTTTTTTCCCCACCAAAAAAATGCCCCTTCAAGATAAATATGATGTGATGCAGGATAGTGATTCGACATTGCATTTGAAATGGGATGCGAATGAGATATGGTGTGTATTTTCAAAATTAGTTTTTTTTTTTTGTGCAATCAAATGACATGGAAGCAAAAATATTTCAAGGCAATAAAGAATTTGGGTACATACAATGATTAAAAAAACAGTATTTCACAATTTTATTTTCCTGCTGAGATGTTCGAAATGGATGTCGTGGTATCAAACTATATTAATCCCTAGCTGCTTCTTTCCCATCAACCAACATTGATTGAATCGTTAAGAAAATGAGATAACGATGTTTCCCATAACGAGAGATTGTCGGCGTCAGCCTCAAAAACAAATCTCCTGTAGGATTACACCAAAATAGGAAAGAGAAAATTTACAATAGAATAATAAAAAAAGAGGGACGACATGAAAAATATAAGTAATTAATTAATCTGTTTATAAGACAACGCAAATACGAATAATAAACATGAAATGGCAACTATTATAGGACATTATTAAACACCAAATCTTAGTATTGCTCCGAGTAGTTTTAGAAGGAATATAATCAAGTGAACAACACCAGATTATAAATCTATTTTTTTATGTCCTATGTGTTGTCGTGCAAGTTTTTCATATTTACAACACTTCACAATTTGATATAATGAGCAGCACTCACTACGGTGAAAATAAAAAATGAAAATTTGTACGGTTGGGGTAAAAGTGAAACCAGAATAATTGACAATTCAATTATTAAGATAAGTTATGCTTGCAAATTGTAAACTTTTAATCATATTCATACTTTTGCCAACGATGCTTAGCAGAGTCTGCTGCATGAATGCATGGGCAAAAAAATAGTTTCTAATCACTCTTTCTTTCTGGTTGTCTTGCACGAAAGCAAATTGAAGTTTCACTTTGTTTTTTTTTTAATCATAACTGAAGGTTTGCAGTTACTACTTTTAATTGATCACGACTTGCAAGCGAATAAAATATCCTTTTCGTAATTTGCAGCCTTTTATAGAAGAGAACATATTTTTGCTTCCATGTTCAAACACAAGCCTGACAATATGGCAGAAGGCAAAACGAGGGTATTTGCAAGTTGTTAAGGAATAGTATGATTAATATTATTGAGTAATCAAGGACAAGCTTATCAATGAAACAATAACCTAGAGACATACATGCAGTCAAACTGCAAAACACCCATACTTGTCCACATGTTGGAAAGGCACAAAACCTTGGATGAACCTTCCTCCATGAATACACTCGGCAGCAGAGTACATATAATAAAGGCTTTCCCATGTACATAATCGGTAGAAACCTATATATATTTTTATCAATCACCGAGACAATATAATAATTTATTGCCTAAAGACTAAAGAATCAGACCCACGATAAATAATCCACTAAGCTTGGCAAAGGAATATAAAATCATTAGGATTTATCAAACTGTTCTGTTTGTTTGGGGAGACAGATCTGTCCGCGTCAGCCATTTCTGGATCTGAAAGAATAACTGCTATTAGGAGCTCGAGAAACCATTCTTGTATCTTCAGATGGTTTCTGATGTTTTGCATATGAAGCAGATCTTCCTCTTCTTTGCCTCCTTCTTGGTTGTGTGGACTGAGGGATGAACACCCCTGTCCCTTTGCTTGCTCTTCTCACACCCTGCTCGTACACTATCACAGACAGGGGAGGAGGATGAATTATTGCTCCTGAGAAAACCTGAAGAAGAAGAAGAAGACACACAAGTTATGGCAGGTTCGGATTGGTCATACATCAATACAAGTTAAGGTTAAATTTCAGAAATGGAAAGATAAGAACCTGAAGGGGCTCAGGAGGACAACAAGCAAGTGGGTCTTCTTGTTCATCTTCATCCATAATCAGGAGAGAAATCTGCTTGCTCAAGTCTGCAAAAAAGAGATCATCTTCAAGCTCCACTGCAACATCCATCACCTGAAGTATTCTGTTCTGAGACCCAAAAGGATGTAACTTGAGAGATAACTACTAAAGTGTAAAAATAGAGAAGAGGATTTTATAAAGGGGCAAAAGGGTGAGTGAGAGGATGGGGTGAGTTATAAGGGTGTATGGGCATGTGGGTTGGTGGGACCATATGGTCACAGTTGGCCAATCTGGCTAAGACCCACAAGAATCATGGAGGTGTGTTGTGTGGGGATAATTATCCTTTTCAAGCATAAGGAGATGAGAACAGTAGACAACAGCCCATATCCAGATATCTAGTCCAGGATAGACTCAATCTCTTGCATACTTGGTTATGAACATCTCTCTCTCTCTCTCTCTCTCTCTCATCTCTCCAATAACAGTAAGTCAGTAAAACAACATGTTATATGGTTCATAATGTTTTTAGTCCTCATCTGCACATGCAAGTATCAACATAGTTCTGAAACTCAAGGTCTTTATCTGTAGTTTTATATTTTTCTGCTGATTACTCGCGGTTAAGATTGAACCACCATGCACACATAAAAGTCCATTTTGGTGACTGACAGTGGGATCTGCATGTTGCGCAACTTGCTGCGGTGGAGCCCCACGACAGTCTTTGCGACAATTCACCTTGGGTTGATTTTGACTGATGATGACAATTTTATAGTTTCATTTTATGACCTTAACAATTAGCAAGTAAATGTAGTTGTTTCGTCATAATTAACTATAATAAATGGCTGTGTGAAGAAGTTATTTGTGATAAAATTAATAAAGAAAATGTCTTATATATATCTGATAATCGTGATTAACTTATTTCAATTCATATGTTACAAATCTGTCTAAAAGATTTTGTACCAAAAACAGGTGAATGTCAACTCAGAATAGCGTGTGTGCCGGGCGTCAAAAAGTACCTTAGTACTTAAGCTTCAAAAAGATGGGATTCCTTTTGCCAAAAAATAAAAGAATATATTGGATTCCTAGTGTCCTTATCCTTTAGGACTGTTGGTATCTTCTCCTATTACGAATGTTTTCTTAAAGGATATGGCTCCTTTCAAATTTTTGGCTGTAAATTTTTGTGAAGTCATTTATAAGAAAGAAGAAAAAAAGTCGTCCTCCAACGGCAACACCTCGCCCTCCATCTTTCATATTGTTACTATCTGAAGAATCAATTAGAACACTGAATGTGTACCAAAAAGAATTAAAATACTGAATCTACCATTAAATGCAGTTGCTTGCTTGCTCTGTCAGTTACAATTTTGTGAAATGAGAACTAAACAGTGCCTCGAGCATTCATCAATGAAGAAGAACATAGGGATTAACGGCTTTAACGGAACGAGAACCCAATAAAAAAATTTATAATGACTGATAAATTATTTTTTCATAGTAATATAATAGAGAAAACTCCATTAATTTCTTTCACCTGAACTATGCTATGAGAGTACCAATATTTTCTCTAACGGTTGACGTATATATTAATTTTTATAATTTATATTATGCAAATAAAATTATTTTTCATACGACGGAATGATATAATTTTTTTACTATGATAGCTGACAGTTAAATGGTATATTTTTTCTGATAAAAAAAAACATTATATACCCTGTTGCAAACTTGAAGAAATAAAAAAATCTCACTTAAATAATATCCCTAGTCTTTTTCAACAAAGCACTGGCGTTTCTGCGAACAAAGGCATTAATTCCAGCCGATCCTACAGAGGGGCCAACTTTTGAATCTTAACCTGGACGGCAGTTTAACAGTACGCATTAGCCTTTACATGCATAAATGAAATCTGCTTTTGCGGATGTGACAAAAAAATGTTTCGATTAATTACCCAAAATTCATGAGACACGATGCTGAAAACCTTTTGGTTGGTATTATACTTGATAGGTACACAAGCCAATCACTAATAG